GGGGTGGGGGTGGGGGCGCGGGGGCGGATCCTGTCCCTTGGTGCCACAGCTCGGCCTTGCAGAGAGGGGCCCCCCCCCGCCCCGCCCCCCCCCGCCATTGACTACAGTGGGGTCATTTAATGCGGGGTGGCTGATGAAGTGACCTCCTTGAGCAGAGCATCCTCTGGCTGCAGCAGAGGTGTCTGAGCTTCTCCCGAACTGCCCTCTGAACCCCTGGGCTCTGCGATTGGGGGGCCTAAAATCAGCGGAGCCGGTCAGCGTGAAAATGGCAGAAATTCGAGGTTTAACGCCCAGATGAGCTGTCCCTGCCTTCAACAAGTTCTGTGCCCACTGCTAGGGCAGAGCTTGAAGGTGATTACAGTGTTAATCGCCAACTTTAAACTCAGTGCTGTCGGTTTGTCAGAGCCCTGTTTTGATTTTTTTCTGATTGTGTAATTTCAGTTGAGGAGTGTACTTGTGCTCTGCAGGAGAAGTCCCATTTTAGTTACAGTTTTGCAAGGTTTAGTGTATTTATCCTTGTCATCAGTAACTTGCCACCACGTATATAGCAAAATGTAACTTTCAATTGTTTCTTTGTTACCTAGAATACTATGTATTTATTAAAATTCTGTTGTGTTTTTTTCCATAAACAGACCTTCCACGAACTAATTTTAGACGTTTATCATTTGATCACTGCAGGTAAGACAACAAATTTACATTATCATATATTAAATGATCTATTTATCAGGCTGTTGACACTGAAGCCATGTTCTTCGGAGGTAGTTACTTTCATTGACTTGTGCCTGCTATGATAGTAATGCAACAAGAAAAAGTTCAATAAGAACTGAAACAATATCTATACTTTCCATGATTAGTGTCTGCAGAGATTGGAGCTGATGGCTAAAAGGATATACAAGTGATAAAATAATTCAGAACGATTATCGTGTACATCCCAGTCTTTCAAATCTGTGTAATCAGGGCTTGAATCTACTTTTCCCTGCTCAGAATATGCTTGGTCGATCACTCATCTTTCTGAGGCAGTGGTTAGGTAGATTGAAGGAATATTTATGCTAATTTTTTGTGTTTAGAGTTTACTGCTTGAAGTGCTGGAGTGAAAGAGGGGAGTTAGTAGAGGTGGGTTAGAAATCCTCTTGTAAATGGAATAGTTCAAGAAGTTAGCATCCATACCTATGAACTACTGCTGCTTGGCTAAAAGCTGGCTGGATTATGGAAGCATCACTAGCAGGGGATGCTGAAGGTGATTGCCAGTTACTCCCTAGCCCGTTTCAGTGCAAAGGCAGTGAGTGTTTCTGCTTGAACCATCTTTTGTGCTGGTGGGGCCCAACATGGCAATGGAAGCGGGCTGGGGGGTATTACAGCATCCCGTGGCTCTATGGCTGTGAGTGCTGGCAGCTACACATTACTGAACTGCACCAGTTCCTTTCATGGATTTTGTTGTTAACCTAATTTATGTAGAATCGGGTAGTGGGTATTGGCAGCCACTCAGTATTTTCACTGGTATAGGCCTTGATTTAATGTGCAAGTGAATCAGCAAAATGTTATTTGCTTCTGTCATCGTGATTTCCAGTTGATTTTGCTAAAAAGAACGTGTACTTTTTTTCTAGTTTGTCTCTGCAGCCATTTGAATACCCAGTTTGCACACCAGATGGGACAGTCTTTGACATACTGTAAGTTACTGTCTGTACTTAATTTTATTTTTGTGTTGTTGAACTGGTTACAGCTGTGTAATCATCATTTGGTCTTAGCAAGTTGGCAAAAATAATCATGCTCATCAATAGAGGTTTCTGATGGTGTTTGTCACTTACTACTTTATTCCTTCTCTTTTCAGGAGCATTGTTCCTTGGATAAAGAAATACGGAACCAATCCAATCACAGGAGAAGTAAGTAATGATGGGTGCATTCACACGATGTCTTTGCTTTCCTTATGCTCAGTTTCCTATTCAATGTGTGGGAGAAACAAAAATGCCTTAATGAAAGCAAAAGAAGTTGAATGGGAGTGCTATTTTGAAGTATGATATTTGTGAGATCACGTTTGCTGAAATTAATTTAGAGATTTACTAGGGATCTCTTTTTAACTGGAAAAAAAAAAGGGGAGCTTCTGGATTTGAGACCTGATATCCCCTTGCTGTCATCCTGCTAATGATCTTTGTAGTAGAAAATAATCAGCCCCGGACTGTGTGTGCAGAAGAAAGGGGAGAGCTCCCCTCACACCCCCCCCCCCATTGGATTGGATTGTAAATAGTATGGCAGAGAAAATGCGCAGTTCATTTCTATAAACTCCCAGGGTATCTTGCCTTTCTTACAGGTGTGGCATAATTAAAATCTGTATAGATGGAAATACGAGCTCTTTTGTTACTGCTAGTGATGCCCAGAAAGCCTGACTGGTCATTGACGGAAAAGGCTCTGTACTGCTTGCCTCGTATAAGCAGAATTCTAGTCCATACAGGGCAAGGGGCTGGCAAGCTCACCTCGCCATCTGTGATTAAACTTGCAGTGATGTTTCCTAACCAAAAGGATATTTGGCTTTGTGCAGATTGGAGAGATTAATAGATGATATTATGAATGGTAAGCTTAAGCTGCAAAATCTTTTGAGTTATCTTGACAATATATTTCAGAAAACTTCTGACCTGCCTCTGTCATGATAGTTCATTGTGAGACTGGGATTTCACACTACGATCAGCCCTTAGTGGTTTTTCTCCCCCCTTTTTCTGCATAAATGATTATTATGAAGGGATTACTTTCTGTAGTAGCGTGAAGTTGTAAAGCACCAGATAAATACGAAGAACTGAAGATATTTCCTTGTTGGAATTTTTTTTTTTTTCTGGTGTGTTAAAAGAGAGTGCATTGTTTGTGAGGGCACAGAGGAAAATTTTAAACAGAAATTGTTGCTTGAGTTACTGAAACTTGTCTTTTCCTTCAGTAAGTGCAGTTACTTTCCCGAGCATTAGGTGGCAGCCATTGCACAGGATTGTTGGTTGATTTGCAGATGGCTTTGTGGTATGAGATTACCATTGAAACATCTTGTGTTTGATTAAAGATTTTCCCAGCAGTCAGATACGAGGAGAAGCTAAATACAGATGCAGCATTCCAAACTCTAAACATGAACAGGCTGTCTGAGACTCAATATCTTCAGTTATAGCAAACTGCAAGTGTGTTTATGCGATGGAGAGAAGATTGAAGGTCTTTCTTCACACATGAAGAGGCCAATGTATTGTGGAGAAGGAATTGAATTACAGCTATTTAATTTGTTTTTGCCAGCCTCTCACCACCTTGCTGCTCTGTGCATTGGTTGGGAGTTTTGGGGTGTTGCCAGATGAATTTTTTCCACTCAGAGCAGCTCCATGACACCTGTTCTTATTTCAGACTGTGAACCGTGATGTGGTTTAAAATTACTTTGGGTGAATGCTAAGCAAGACGTGTAATGTGTCTAGTGGTCTTCTGTAATACAGAGAAAGGGAGATTGTGCAGAATATACTTGGTGAACCATAAATGCTCAAATGAAGTTGGACTTTGAGATCTGTTAGTTTACCCAGACTTGTGCTTCTGTAGTTGATCTGCAGTGCACCTCCAGCTCTCCTCAACATGCATCCCCTTTTCCTCTGTATCACTCTGTTTGGGAAGCCCTTTCTTCTTCCCTTTTCTTCAGTGGTGGACTTGTGCTGTACTGCTGTGTCCTCCACAGGACGAAGGTGTTCCAGACCACTTGGAAGACAAAGGAGATGCTTGCTCTCCAGAACAGCACACAGCCCTGCTGAATCCAGCCCTGTGGAGCTATAAGTTGGAGGGAGTGTAGTAATTTAGCCTTTGTTTCCCAGAGGGCCAGCTCTGGTTTTCAGAAGGGGAGGATGGCATCAGGCAGGAAGGGCATGGGGGTGCTGGGACAAGGCAGGGTAGGTGGCAGAGGAAGTCAATGAGTTGAGCTTGGACATCTCTAGACTGTACTGCCCTCTATTTAATCTATCATTGTGTGTGCACCTTCTGTAACTTGTACAGCTTGCTCATTGTGGAAACCAGAAAATATTTTCTGTAATGAGTTGGTGACTTACAGAAACTTAAGACTCCAGGTTTGTTTAAGAAGGAATTGAGCCAGATTTGCTGCAATGCCATGTTTTGTATAGTGACTTATGAAGTTACTTTGCACAGATCCATGATTCATTATTGGTGATGAGGCTCTGGAGAATTTTTCCATTTTTTTGTCCTGAAGTTAAAAATAATAATGAAATCCTTTGTGGCTTGTACTTCTGTTGTTACAGTTTGCTAGAGGCCTTTTAGAGAAGTCAATAGGCTACTTGGAAATGGCATTGTTAATGGTGCACTCTTGATACTCACTAATTCTGTCTAACTCTCTTATTTCTGAAGTGGACCCCTCAGTGGAGAACTGGAGAGCCTTGCAATCATTAGTATATTTATCTTCACAGTGCTCCCAGGGGGTAGGACTGTGCTAGTCTTTTATTAATTGGATGTTTGTGAACTGATCTACAAGTGACTTCTCTGATTCTTCTGAGTCCTAACCTATTGGACCAGCCTTCCTTTTTAAAGAAATTTTGCAATGCCAAGATCACAGTTATTCTTTGATATGTTTAAAATATTTTAATTTTTTTTTCTTTCCTTCCTTATGGTTTACAGTTTATTTTTCTTGCTTTTCTGAACATTCTCCTGACATGCAGTATGGACACCAATATCCATTTGGAGAAACAAATCACTATTGACCTTTGTCTAGAGTTTCCCATGAGCTATTCCAGAAAGTAACTTTAGATTTATCTTTTTCCCCCTTTTTAATAATGTATTGGGGTAAAAAATACTTATGTTACTACACCAATAATTTTGGAAGAAACAGTGCATCTCTTGCAGCTGAACTATAGCCTGTCAGATGGCATTGGCTCACTTAGGTTTTTTTTGTCAGCTTTGTCAGGACACTGCACCACCTTATGTTTATACTAAAATTGCGTAAAATAAAGAGGAAAGTCATAGTTAGCTCATTCCTTTTTACTGAGAACAGCACTTTGGCTTCTTGGGCTTGCAGATAGTTGCAAGCTTGCCAGAACGTTTCATGTAGCGGCGATATGACAGCAGTGACCAGCATGCCCACACAAGTCAGCCAGCTGGGCTCAGGAGTACCTGTTTCCAAGAAGTGAGATTGGTCAGAGCTTGTCTGGTTTGTTGGAATCTCAAATATGAACAGATGATAGATCAGCATGCCTTCTGACAGGAATTTCAAGGAAATTGTTGCATGGATATGTTGTATGTGGGCTGAGCTATTTTTCTCCTTTGCATTGTAATGTTTCTGATATAAATAACTATTTTTCTGCTCTGGTTCAGTGACATTCTAACTGCGTGTGGGCAGACCAAATAATTGTGGTTGTAATTCAGCCCCATTCAAGGCTCTGTAACCTTGGGCAAATACCTCTCTTCCCCTGTATCAGAAATAGCTAAGGTCTTTGCCTCTTGTCCCCCCTTTTCTGTGGGAATTTAGTTATTTTGGACAGTTGAAAGTCAGTTAATCTCTGGTGTTTGCTTCTAAGGCTTTGTTCCAAAGACAATTTTGTGACTGTTTTAAGTGCATCTGCTTTTAAACTCTCATAGAGGGTTCACCTATGTGTATTCTTTCTGCACTGCTCAGAGCAAACTAAAATCCATGTGTCTGCTGATCCTGCATAACCCAGAGAGGCAATCCTCACATTAAGGGCCACGCCCAGCTGTGTGGTTGCTGCATGTGTATGTCCTGAAGGGCAAACAGGATTCAGTCGAGTTAATTTAGTTTGGGCTTAACATATGCCTAAGAGTCAGGTTAAGAGACCTGAAGATGCTGTGTGGTGGATGTATGAGACTAGGAGTCACATTTCTGGTCCAAATGAGGCAGAGCACAATTTGTGTTGTGCCCTGTCTCATGCAAGGTTAGGATCCAGACCTCCAGGCCAGAGAGAGCTTTTTCTTAAGTGTCACAAGGTTTTAGCTTCTTACTAGGTTAAATGGGAAAATTTTTATAAATTCTGAGGATTTTTTTTAGGGTTGGGAAAGCCTTTTGCTTGGGCTGCCAACCATAAAAAGGAGTCTGGGGCATATAAAGAGGTAGTAGAAGGCAGAGCCACTGACATGGAAAATGACGACTAACTTTGGAGTAGGAAGGCTGAAAATCTGACTTTTCCCAGTAGGACATCTGCCTTCTTAAAAGAGAAAGCTGTACCCAAAGTTTTGCTCTGTGTACAAGATAAATACTTGCTATTGTTCTCCCACATTCTTAATCCTGTATTTACCAAATAAAAATGATTTGGGGTGAGATTTTGACTAATATGGTCAAATAATTGCAGCAGTACAGGTGCCTGCCTCATGCAGTAAGCCTGTCTGATCCACGCTTTGAAAGCACCTAGAGACACACATCTTGTACCTGCAATGCCCTGCAGCAATGACAGAGCCTGTAGCAGACACCTCCTCACTCCAGCACTGCTCAGGTAGGAATGTAAGCAGTACCCTTTTTTTTAATAATTTGTTTGAAATAAGGTTGGTAGGGTGATGCTTGCCTGACTAATTACAGGCACTTTCAAAACCAATAACTTCTTACCCTCAAAAGAAAAAATTGCAACCAAGTCTGTTATTTCAAAACTTTGGAAAGTCATTCTCAAATACGTTCCTTAAATATGTTTATTAGCTAATTCCTCTCCCAAATGCTGGTGGCTATTGTTACTTCATTTTATTGTGAAAGCATGGTTTCATTTCAAGTTGATCAACTAGATTTCAGTCAGTCTCACAGAAATCGATTGCGGGTCTTGTGGTGAGAGGAGCTTGCTGACAAGGTTAATGGAGAGGATATGGAGAAAATTACTTTTTTACTGCTGAACTTATTAATCCCACTTTAAAAATGAACGAACAACCTTACAGCACT